CATGCAACAAATAAACAAATTTTAAACATGACGATTTAAACGATTGATTTTAAAAGGGCTTTAAGATGTACTTGAATTTAAGATTTCTCACGAAATCCGTTTTAAAGTCAAAATTAAATGGCCTGATTGAATTGGCTAGTTTTAGAAAGGCTTTTAAAGAGTATTTGAAATAGGAGTTCAAATGCTGCTCTGTTTGAAAGATATTTTTAGAACGTTTTATCTTAACTGAAATTAAGAAAAGCTTTAAGAAATTTAGTGATTCACTTATTTGAAATTATTGTTACAAATTATGAAAGTATTCTTTCTTATATTAAAAAAAAAAAAATGTTCCGCAAATTTTAAGAAACCCCAGTAAGTACAAGTTAAAGTTTAAGTTACAGTGGCGGCCTCATAGGAGGGGCGTCACAAAAATCATCTCAATCAGAATTAAAACGAAAAAGTTATGACATTTTCAAGAATAGAAAAAATATTGTTCATTAACTTGAGTTTGAGTTTATGAACTCGAATTAAAAGGAAAACTTGAACTCGAGTTTAACCCCAAATTCGAGTTCAAACTCAAATTTTACAAAAACACATAAACTTGAATAAAGTTATAACTCGAGTTTAAATTTTTTTTGAATTTTATTATAAAAGAACACCCCCTTAATTTTTCTATCTTTGTATGCATCATCATTTGTTTGGTGTAATAGTTTTTTAATATGTCAACAAGAGTTAGTGTAGTGTGACATAATTAAAGAGCAGGTAGGCCATATATATATTTTTTTAACATTACAGGGAAAAAAAAATGATAATGTTGCTTTCACTGATGTTTAATTAATTATTAAAGATCACTATTCTCTCTGTAGATTGTCCCATTTGCATAAAAGCCTGCCACGTGTTATTTGATATAGACTTTTACTAAAGACTTGTTTTTGGAGAGGCTGAAAATATCAGTCTATCACAAAAGATGGAAAAAAGAATCCAAGACATAACTAAACAAAAGAGTCAAAAAATGGTCCCCAACCAAAAAAATCAATTTATTTTATAAATAAATAAATAGTTACAGGCGATCATAAGCAAGAGTGAAAGAAGCAAAAGGAAAAATATTTAATCATTTTCATCTCCTTTTTATTTTTTTTTTTGTTCACTCTTTTCCTGGTTCACCAAAGGAATGTTGAAATGATCGTTTGCATTAACCGTGTCTAGAGAGATGAAAACACAATAATTACATAATTCATTTGTATGTGCTATTTATTCTCCATATCTTCAACTCTATAACTCTGCAACAAAGGGATCTTCCCATAATCCTTGGTATCTTCTTCTTGTGCTTTTCCCCATATTACAGCATAAAACCCAAGTAGTAGTATAATTGCTCCAACAACGCTTGAAAGTGGACGTGAAAAAGAAAAAGGCCAATTAACAGTAATTCTTCTTTGTGATCTTGAAACTAATCCAAAATCCAATAATTTGGATAAAAATGGAGTAATTAGGCAGTTAGTTATGTACCTCCCAAGGAAGAGATCATCGCCAAGGAATACGACACCGACAAAAGCTGCAATGGCAATAGAAAGTGGCCGGAAGATAGAGATATAGAGAGGTCCCTTCAAGTGAAGCCCCCACGTGTGGAGTAATGTGCTGAAAGATATACCAAAAAATCCCTAAAAAAAATAAAAATAAACCATGACCAATTGCACGTATATATCCAATAGCTTGATCATGAGTTATTATGTAACACCATAATAAATTTAGTTTCTTACTGATAATACAACAGTGACCAATGATATCTTAGGCTTCAATGTCCAAGCGCTCAATTTTGGTTCTGCTATAAGGCATACTGGTACTGCAATAGTTGTGGCGCACAGAAAGTACACGGGCACCACAATTTTTGCATCTTGGTACGTTTTCATCACCTGGGTCTGCCAAAAACTAGTGAGTATACTTCGCGCCAATGAAACAGTCCATAAGTATATTAGTTAAAAAATCTGGCGGTTATTTTAATATTACTCGAAATCACAAAATTAGAATGGCGGAGCTACTAATAGTTCAGTGGGGGGCGCATTATGCTACAAATGAAATTTATAATTATGTTTTTGTTGAGAAAAGTGCATGTGTTATCCCACATGAAAAGTAGGTAGAAATGTGAAATAGTTTATATATATATGAAAAGACTCAGACTCAATAGGTTAGCTTTTTAGGTCAAGTTGGATTCTTAAAGTGTGTTGGATCAGTTTCACGTGTGTTATCTCCCTAACAAGTGGTATCAAAGCCGATGATTCATTCGGATCAAGCGATCACACTCAGTTGTAATTGTAGGTGCATTTTGTGGACTCGTATAATTTTGACTCTCTTTCCTATGCTCGAGTTGGCTCTCATTTAGAGTGCCACTTTCACATGTGGTGTATTCTCAACAGTTTCGATCTAGTGAAAAATTATCTCCTATGTTTTTATAGTGCTCCAACTGAAAAAGTATTTCTGGTTCCGACACTGTTTATGACTCATCTCTGAGTGTCGATTTACTACTAGGTTGTTTATAGACCTAGTATTGTGAGTTAAGCTACCTGAAGAATGTACCAGATTGAGCAAAGAAGGTATTCCAAAGCTAGTAAAAGGCCTCCAAGGACCCAATTCGTTCGCGATGTTTCTGAAGAATATTGAAGGCTAAGAGACACTAATTCAGAAGGAGATGAAGAAGCAGGGGATAAAAGTGTAGGGCCCTTGTAGAGAACCGCTACCAATGCGCCTGATATTGAAAGTACGGTGCCTATGATTTTGTTACGAGTCACTGAGCTTCTAACATCCATATTCTCCATCCTTTTGGAGGCAAAAAAAAAAAAAAAAAATGGTCTTAGTGCAAAGAAGAAAACAGAGCAGTGCTTTATATGCACATAACAAACATTTAGAGGGAGAGAGAGAGAAATGAAGGAGAAGACCTGAAGATGACGGCTAATATGAAAGTAAAAGCCGGTGTAAGATTGCTGGCAGCTGAGGCAAGAGTTGGAGAACTGTATTCTATACCTTTATATCCACATATGTTGGATGAAAACCTGCCTTTCAAAACCAAAAAAAGCAAAGTTGCGGTACATAAGGATAGATCCTTTCCTTTAGATTTTCCTTGAATTAAATCATGATCAAATTATCATGGATTTTAGCGATACATATGTATTATATCCATACCCAATTATTCCAAGAAGGACAATTTTTATGAAAAAAGACAGCTCGAAAGAAGGAAGTTCACTCCTGCACCAAATCTCAAATATAATGAATATCATTTGTTACATGAACCAAGTGAAAAGCTTGTGATTAAGCTAATGATAAGGAGATAAAGAAAGCATTATTTATTTAATTACCTTGGAAATATGAAGGGAAGAGGGAGAAGAACAAGAGTACCTAAAAAATAAGAATAAGCAATGAAGACAAAGTAGCTCAGCCCTTTCAAAGTGGCTGCTTTGTACAACGTATTTACGCCGACCGTCGCGAACTCTACGGCGGCCATGGCTGCAAAGGGCACAACTTCTTTACAGCCACAGCCTGGCATCTTAATTTCCTTCCCTTCTTCTCTCTAGCCTCACTGGGTCTATAAAAGATTTTTTTTCTTCTCCTCCTCTTTGTGATGCATTTTTTTATTTAAGTTATTTGGTGGGCCATCATTTTCTGGCATTGATTATGATATTGATGATGTGACAATATTTACATAGCTTTGCAACAAGAGTTTCTCGCCGTTGGATGAGGATACAAAACCACCTAATCCACCGTCCATGTATCTATAGCATACTTATAAAACCAAAATCAAACCAATTATATCTCAAAAAACGCTGCATAGTTGTGAATGGCCATCAATTTGAGCTGACGTTTACAATTTGTGTGACACAGCTACAGAAGAATTTCCATCATCTGTATTTGGAAAAAAAAATAAAAATAAAAATAAAAAAGACGAAGACAATTAAATTGCCGGAACGCCATTATTTTTCACAAATCACATGGTGATTATGTTGGTACTCTAATCACACCTTGCACTACCTAGAAAAGAAATAAGTAATGTGAAAAAATGACATTTTTTATTTAAGAAAAAAGTAGGTGCACTGGCGGATTATGCCCTATTTTAATGGGGAATTATGGCCTATTTGATAATATAAAATTCTAATAATGAACATTTTTTTGGAAAATTTTCAAGAATCCCATGAAAAAGATATTATATTTTATTTTTGCTATTAATTTTAAATTTATTATTTATGCCATCAGTTTTTGTATTCTATGGAATTACGTTTCATATTCTAGTAGAATATTTTTTAATGGCATGAATAATAAAATGATGAAAAATAATAGTTATTTTTGTAATTTTCTGCTTTTTTATTAGGTGGCCATTATTACACCTTTTTTTTTATGCAGCGTCAGTTACATTTCTCCTAAACATTTTCTAATATACTAGCAAAGGTACTATGATATAATTGTATTGTTGGTAAGCTATTCTTTTAAACAGAACATAATAATCTTTTTTTTTTCGCTGGACGAATATAATAATCATATTGTTGCTTTGATTAGTAGCAAGTAGCAACGTTGGAGTAGACTGTTTTAATATAAATAAATAAATATCTTGTAACAAAAGTGCCATTACTTTCTTACTGCTGTCCAACCAAACGACCTAAATTAAAATAACAAAAAAATATTTACAGTGCCTCACAAAAAAAAAAAAAAAAAAAAATCATTTCATCTTCATCTCCTTTTTTTTCATTATTTTCCTGTTTCACCAAACGAATATTGAAAGATCGTCTGCATTGACCGTGTTTAGAGAGATAAATACACAATAATTACATAATTCATTCATTTAGTGTGCTATTTATTCTCCATATCTTCAACTCTATGACTCTGCAACAAAGGGATCTTCCCATGAGATATTGAAGAGGCACAATCCTTGACATCTTCTTCTTGTGCTTTTCCCCATATCACAGCATAAAACCCAAGTAGTAGTATAATTGCTCCGACGACACTGGAAAGTGGACATTAGAAAAAGGAAAATTAACAGTAATACAAGAAAATAAACAGTAATTCTTCTTTATATATAATCTTGGAAGTAATCCAAAAAAAAACAACAATTTGGATAAAAGGATGGAGTAATTGGGCAGTTCGTTATAATATTACCTTCCAAGGAAGAGATCATCACCAAGGAATATGACACCAACAAACGCAGCAATGGCAACAGAAAATGGCTTGAAGATAGAGATATAGAGAGGTCCCTTCAAGTGAAGCCCCCACGTGTGGAGTAATGTGCTGAAAGATGAACCAAAAAATCCCTAAAAAAAATAAAAATAAACTGTTAGTGCATTTTTTGTGTTGGTTTATTTTTAGCAAATTCGTTGTAAGATTTGTTGGCATTGTAAATTGGTAGTCCTCTTAAAGAAAGTTTGGTTGTCATGTTTATTGGCTGCAAATCAAGAGTGGACTTTTTGGAGCATTATGGCTGGCTCTTCTAAGGAAAGAATTGTGAGAAATATTGGGAATGATTGTCTTCTTACTGTCATTAGAGTTGGTGACCTGATTTGTGGTGTTAATGGAGGGGATATTACCTTTTGGGTGTGCTTATTGTCGGTGGGAGAGTGTTGCAGATTGTTGTATGAAAAACAAAGTGGTATGAGGGTTTGTGAAGATGAGGGCAGAACGTGTAATGAACACACAGGGCTGAAAACATAAAAGTTGCATTTGTCCATATCAGAATGAGATTGTAATGTTAAGTGTCGCTTGATGTGTTGCGACAAATTGTTAGAACGCTTTCGAGTTGGTTCTTCAGGAGAAGATTTCTTTGGTTTCGGGAGGAAACCGTCAAATCAAGTGGTGCTCGCTGATCAACCTTTCTAAGGAGTTTCTAGGCAACGGCGACAACATCAAGGAGGGAGTCGTTGAGTGTGTAAGACCGTTCGGTCCTTTGTAATCTTTTGAACTTAGTGGATTGATCATTGTCTGGGCATGGCCCCGCAGAGTAGGTGTGCGCACCGAACTGCGATATCATTTTTTTGGTGTCCTTTACGTTTCTGCATTAGTTTCCTGCTTTATTGTATTGATGGTTTAATTTTAGATTTTCTGTCACAAAAAGTGTTACAGTAAAGTGTTGCAACACCACTTGTGACACCAGGATAAAAACGGACCTAACATAAACCATGACCAATTGCACGTATATATCCAATAGCTTGATCATGAGTTATTATGTAACACCATAATAAATTTAGTTTCTTACTGATAATACGACAGTGATCAATGATATCTGAGGCCTCAGTGTCCAAGCGCTCAATTTTGGTTCTGCTATAAGGCATGTTGGTACTGCAATAGTTGTCTTGCACAGAAAGTACAGAGGTACCACAATTTTTGCATCTGGGTATATTTTCATCACCTGGGTCTGTCAAGTAATAGTGAGTCGATTGATATGTAACAGCTTGAACTTTGCAGCAAAACTAATTAGAACCCACAGTTGACATTTTAAGCTCTGTTTGATATGAGAATTCAAATTAAGATAATTTTAGTTTTAGTTTTAGAACCAGAATCATCATTCATGATTTTGGGTCTAAATTATGGTTCTGGAATCAGAATTATAATTAGGGATAGTTCTCGAACCAGAACTATAATTACGGAATTGAACAACCCAAAATTAAGGGGGTGATTTTAGAATTGGTGGTGGTTCTGGTTTAAAACATCACATAATGGTTCAAATTTTGAACTATCCAAACAAAACATTGATTTTGTTGGGTCGAACCAGAACCACTTTTTACTTTTTGTAAATAAACACTTATTTAAATTAGAACCATGATTCCAATTCTAGAACCCCATAAAGTCTCATCCGTCAAAAAGTCTGGCAATCCTTTTAATATGAATCAAACTTAGAATATCTGGATTTATAACACATCTCTAAGTATCTAATGAACATTTTTTATATGTGAAATCTAATAAAATTTGTAGCTTATCCTCCTTGAAATCCGAAATTTTATATTTGTCCCACCTTATAATTTGTAAAACTTCTTACTTATGTGTGAAATCTAATGAAATTTGAACAAGTTACCTGAAGAATGTACCAGATTGAGGAGAGAAGGCATTGGGAAGCTAGTAAAAGGCCTCCTAGGACCCAATTCCTTTTTGATGTTTCCGAAGAATATTGAAGGCCCAGGGAAAATGATTGAGGAGGAAATGAAGATGAAGAGGAGAAAATTTTAGGGCCCTTGTAGATAACTGCTACCATTGCGCCAGATAATGAAAATATGGTGCCTATGATTTTGATACGAGTCACTGAACTTCTAAGATCCAGATTCTCCATCCTTTACGAGGCAATAACAAATAATAATAATAATAATAATGATAATAATAATAATAATAATAATGATAATAATAATGATAATAATAATAATAATGATAATGATGATAAAATTCTTTATATGCACATAACAAACATAAAAAATGTAAAAAAAAAAAAAAATGGGGGAGGAAAAGACCTGAAAATGATAGCCAATATGAAAGTAAAAGCCGGTATCATGTTACTGACAGCTGAGGCAAGAGTTGGAGAACTGTATTCTATGCCTTTACATCCACATATGCTGCATGTAAACCTGCCTTACAAAACAAAAAAGAATGAATAAATGAATAAGAAAAGAAAAAGTTGTTGTCTACATGATAAGGAAAATAGGAGTCTCTTTTCGTTCTTTTTGTTTTTCCTTAAATTAAATCACGTGATCAAATTATAATGGATTTCAGTGATATATATCTCCATACCCAATTAGTCCCAAAAGGACAATTTTTAAGAAAAAAGACAGCTCAAAAGAACGAAGTTCCCTCCTGCACCAAATTCAAATATAACCCACTATCATTTATTATATGGATTAAGTGAAAAATACTTGTGATTATAAAGCTTTAATGAGAAGGAGATCAAGAGAGGTATATTTATATATTTATTTACCTTGGAAATATGAAGGGAAGAGGAAGCAGAACAAGAGTACCTAAAACATAAGAGTATGCGACAAAGACAAAGTAGCTCAGCCCTTCCAAAGTGGCTGCTTTGTAAAAAGTATTTACGCCGACCGCGGCCAACTCTACGGCGGCCATGGCTGCGAACGGCACAATTTCTTTACGACCGCAGCCTGCCATCTTTCCTTCCCTTCCTGATCTCTCTAGCCTCACTCGGTCTTTAAAAGACTTTTTTCTTCTAATTCTCTAGTTGGTGAAGCATCTTTGGTTTAAATTACGTGACGGTCACATTACTCTTTTGAATTTTCTAGCGTTGAGTATTATGCCATGATGGGACAATATATTTAGCTTTGAAAAAAAAGGTTCCTCGCCGTTGAACAAGGATATAAAACAACCTAATCCATCGAGATAACCGAAACGAAACCATTATAGCTCAGAAAATAGATGCTGCCAAGTTGTGAATCACCGCTAGTGTGTGTTTGGTTGGGGAGAGATCAGAAGGGAAGGAGAAGAGGACCAATACATTATTTAGTTGGAGGGAGTATACGATAGAGATGAGGAGAAATACTAGCATCATTTTTTGTCACTTTTAAATTTTATTTTTTGATACGTAAATTCTAATAATATATTATTATTTAAAAAAAATAAGATAGTGAAATACCTGTGTCAAATAATGAATGTAGAGAGTGACATAAAGAGTAACATAAACTATAATTATAAATGATTAATCATAATGAAAGATGAATGATCGCGTATACAAGAAACGTTTTCATCATGCCACATTGTTACTCGATATATATATATATATATATATAT